AAGATGTCCTTTTTAGAACTTGATTTGGGGCTGGAGAGATGGCTCAGTGGTTAAGAACACTGGCTGTTCTTGCAGAAGGCCCGGGTTCGAATCCCAGCACCCACATGGCAGCTAACAACTGTCTGTAACTCCAGTTCCAGGGGATCCGACAGTCTCTTCTTTTCTCCCCCACCATTGCACGACCTGGGTGCACTTACCCACATGCAGGCAATACACGCATACACATAAAATAAAAATAATAAAATATTTTAAAAAAAAGAACTTGATTTCATATAGCACCCTGGTTACCAGCTATACAGTATTGGGGATGTGAGAAAATGCTGTAATTCTGTTCCACCTGGCCTGCCCAGTGCTGTGTCTGTAAAGCCGAGCCCACCGGGACTGGTTTTTTTATAATTAAAAAAAAAATTTATTATTTTTATATGTATGCATGTATTGCCTGCATGTAGGTAAGTGCACCCATGTTGTGCAATGCCCGGGGAGGTCAAAAGAGGCTGTCGGATCCCCTGGGACTTGAGTTAAGGACAGTTGTTACATGTGGGTGCTGGGATTTGAACCCGGGTTTTCTGCAAGACCAAGCAGTGTTCTTAACTGCTGAGCCATCTCTCCAGCCCCCACTGGGACTGGTTTTACAGGGCAGTTTTCAGCCTTCCAAACCAGGAAAGCCCGTCTCACTTTTTATTTAATTTATTTTTTATTTTTTTTGAAACAGGATTTCCCTGTAGCCCCAGCTGGCCTGGAGCTCACTATGTAGACCAGGCTGGCCTTGAACTCACAGAGATCCACCTGCCTCTGCCTCCTGAGTGCTGGGACTAAAGGCGTGTACCACTACGCTGGATGAGTTCTTCCTTTTCAAGGATCAAATTATTTTGTTTTCTTGAAACAGAGTTTCACTGTGTAGCCCAGGCTGGTCTCAAACTCATGATTCTCCTGCCTCAGCCTCCAAGTGCAAGTGCTTGGGTTACAAGTGTGTTCTACCATACCACCTTTGGCTGTAATTATTTTGGATGATTGACTGATCAATTAATTGATGATTGATATATGGTCTCATGTATCCCAGGTTGGCCTTCTCTCTTGCTGTGTAGCTGGGGATAACCTTGAACTTCTGATATGGCCATCTTAGGCAAGCACTCTCACTGACCTTCGTCTCCCATCGTTGGCTATAGCCATTTTGTTTATTTTCTTTTCTATGTTTTTTTTTCTTTGTTCTTCCTTTTTTTGTTGTAATTAAAATTTTTTTAATTTTTATTTTGTATTAAAAATTTTATTTATTCTTTTTATTTTATGTGTATGCACGTATTGCCTGCATGTAGGTAAGTGCACCTGTGTTGTGCAATGCCTGCGGAGGTCAGAAGAAGCTGTTGGATCCCTTGGGACTGGAGTTATGGACAGTTGTTAGCTACCATGTGGGTGCTGGGATTTGAACCTGGGTCTTCTGCAAGAAC